AGCTCAGGGCTGGCTCACATCCTGTCACTTCAGAGAACAGAGAGCAAGCTGTCCTCCCTCCCTGGGGACAAGAGTACATCTGTTCCTCAGGCCAAGGTGCTGAAGACAGGCAGCAGCTCACCAGTGTTCAGCATAAAAATGCCAAGCAACTTGGGCTAGCCTAAAGATGCAGGTTTGATCGCAGGAGCTCTGCCTTGACGTTTTCTGTATTTTGGCTCCCAAGCTTACTGCCCTTAAATAAAAATAGTGTTTATAGAATTTCCAGTTTATTTTATCAGCCTCTCCTGTGTGTTCTCTCTGGTATAATATATTGCACTTTTCCCAAAAGGGGGGGAAAAGTGCAATATATGGTCTTCTAGTCACTAGTTGGTCCTCCTTTAAGGACCTTGTAAGACATTTTCTGTGTATTGTTTCCCTGCATATGTGAGCAGCTTTACTACTTCATCCCCCTTAGGACCACTTAACAACATCAGCAAAGCAATTAAGTGTAGTTTTCAGGAAAATGCCAGAGGCATTACACTGTCTGGATGGGAGTCTCAACCCAATTATTTTCAGCTAGTTGTGAACTGTGGAAAGTGGACTTTACTTCATTATAACTTCAGTTCCCACTGATTAAAAGTCTAGTATGTTACAGACGGTAAGGAAAAATGAAACAATTAAACTTTCCATCAATAAAATTGCTGCATATTCTTCAACATAGGGGTTTACTTCTCTCCAGAGAAGTGATTAAAATGAACTGATTGAACTATAATTTGATTGACTGAAGAGCTGCAATCCATTGCACTAAAGCTGAAATTCCATCTTATTGCTCTATTTAACTCTGAATATAAAAAATTACTGGTGGTCTTGCAAAGCCCTTCTGCAGTCATGCAGCTGAAATTTCTTGTTGTTCACAGGGTGCAGCAGGTTCTGTTCTTCCACTGATGTGTCTGCATGATTCACGATGGATTGATGTTGAGAAATACACAATGACATGTAACAAATTATATCAATACAGCTTTAGAAAGAATAGAAAAGGCCTGTTGTATTATCAGGTATCTTCTACCTATTATGTAATCATTTAGGGATTCTAAACACAACCACAGATAAAGCGAACCCAAGAGACTGGAGAGAATAATTGCCAGGTAATATACAGTTGTTGCAGCAGAAATTAGCATATTCTCCTGATGAAAAATGCAGCTGTGATGCTCCTTCCTGCTGCAGAGCTGTCTTCAGGAAGCTGTGAGGCTGCCAGATGCAGGGATTTGTAGGTGTGCACACATATGGATGACTCCTCCCTCCCAGGGGATACCAGAGTGCCCCACTGGGTCTGGTCTCAAGTAAGCTGTGCTGGCTGTGAGTTAGGATGCCTGAGTTCCAGTGCAAACACTGTTTCTTGGGACTCAGCACAAGTTGTAATGGTTTGCTTATACTGTGAGGGCTTTGTTTTCACAGATGTCGAATTCTGCTGCCAGAACCAGGGGCTCCTATGGCAGAGTGAGGGCTCATGAACACCAGCTAAGGAACAATGAACTGCTTCCTTCTGTCAGCAGGCTACCACGGTGTTCTGGTCTATGAAGTACCCAGAATATCATTCCCCCTCTGAAACTTTAGTTGAATTGCCATTTCCTGTTATGAGGTTGCCACTCTGTGGTATGACACCTGCTTCTCTATTCCCACCATGTATTTGGAAATAAAACACAGTATTTGACCTATAGTTACATAGGGTAAGAATATAATTTTGTACTAAGTCACAGCAAGAACACCTTATATTGGTAATTAAATGCATCAAGCCGGGTAAGATGTGTGGATGAAGATGAGCAACAGCTGGCTTAAATACTTAATGCACTTCCTCTGATAGACAGCTCAAACTCTGAATTCAAGACATGTTTTCCTACTAAGATCACCAAGAACCAGGGCATGTACCCCCTGATAATATTTACTACTGAGCTCAGTTTGCTGTGGAGCTTTGAACTTCTGGATGTGCTGATCTACGAGGCTGGCTCATAGCTAATCAGGCCATGGATGTGATTTGTGCCAGCTTCAACCCTTGCATATTGCCAGTCCCAGTTTTGCAACACACCTGACCAGTCAAGACCTATTGGCAAGATTACACAATACCTGACCACAGTCAAGGTTCATTAATCCACTAAGTTCTTCAGTCTTAATGTTTACACCTAGGACATATCAATTCTTCTTATTTGTTAGCCAAAAGCTACCAGAACTGTGCTGGTACTGAGGCAGTATTGATCTGAAAAAATGCTGCCTTCGTCCAATTTAGAAGGAACTCCTTTGACAAATTATATTTGGCACTTAATAATTGTCTTGTATTATTGGCCTTTTCCTTTGTTTCCTTGTTTCCTCTTTCTTTTTGATTACCAATTACTATAAATGCTCTACTCTGCCTCACCAGAGGTAACTTTGAATAAAGATGTGCAGCAACAGGAGCCTTTTAAAGGGAGACAAGGGCAAATACAGAACTACAAATTTGTAGGTATCTCTGGAGGCTGCAGAATGTTTGTTACATTCCCTGAGCTGAGCTTTATGTACACACAGCAGAGGCACACAGGGCTCCAAACAGCTTAAATGCCTGTTTAATGTCTATTTAATCTTTCAGTTCTTACACACATAAATTCTCTCAATTACAAGACCTTTGCATCAAAGTTGAAGCAGAAGGTGCTGTGCTTGACGTAATTTGAATCTTATTTTCTTGCAGAACAACAAGATGGCAAAAAAGAGGTGCCTAAAGTGTCAAACTGGCCTTGAGACTTCTCTAATTCCTGCATGAAAAAGTGGCAGGGATCTTGCAAAGCATTTATTCATCTCTAACAGCACTCCTACATCCAAGGCAGCAAGCAGAGCCTGGGAAGGGCTTTTTGTCACACTGACACAAGTCACAAGAAATCTGGGCAATGTGCAAACAACATCAAGAGCAGGGCAGGACCTTCTCCCAAGCCCAGCCTTCGCTGCCACACAAAGGAGGAGGCACAGACATCTGGTGACCCAAACAATTGCTTAATGTGGTTCCCCAGAGAAGTGTCAGCAAGTGTATGGACAGGAACTGGCAAACAGTTCCACCAGACCATGCTGGCCTAGCACATCATGGAAAAAGGGAAGAACGATTCAAGCTGGATGTGTTTTCTGTACCCCTGGGACTCCTGGCAGATGCACAGGAATAACCACATCTACCAAAAAGAACATAATTCTGCCATGGATGCTGCAAATCACACATGTGACTCCTCTCTCCTTACCCTGAAATGGAGCGGCAACAATTTTCTGTGTTTCAACAAGTTGATTTCAAAATCTCCAATTACAAAAATATACAAAAATGTATTTGCCAGCAGATTTTTGTCGGAAAAATACAGCACTTTAATTACATAGTGCTGTAATAACTCCCTATTTTTACAGAAATGTGATTACTGCAATTTCTTCATTAGGGAATAGTTTCACTATTTAAGAAAATCTTATTTAAGAGGCGTGGTGTTATCTGTTTATCCCACACTGTTAACACCCCAGCAAAACATAAGCAAACACTTGAATGCTTTCCTCCTAGCAACCAAGGTCTCTCACATCAGAAAAGCAGCATACTTGTGTTTTTCTCTGCCTTGTATTGAGCCAAATTTCTAGTTTACAGCCCCTTGGCCATTCCATAACTATCAGATTCTTGGAATATAATTTTAGGTGAAAGTCTAAACCAGTAACTATGGTCACAGGGCCAGCTTTTGTGTATCCCTTACTTTCGCTGATGGAAATATTGTAAAATTTCTCTTAGGAACTAAGGTTCGTTACATTTACTAACCTGCTGCATGACTTAACTCTTCAAATTACCAGCAGCTTTTACGAAGTGCTGAGTTTCTGCAGATCCCACTATGGTGAGTCTATCACAGACACTGAGTATTGCTTTGGGATCTCACTCTGTCTTTCAAGGCTGGGATAATGGTGCTGTTTCTACTGAAGAAATGGGGGAGTTCAGATCTCTTGAAATCTTTGTAGGATATTGGGGACCCAAACCCCCCCCCCTCCCCAAAATCAGCAAATACACTATCAGAATCCTCTCCTTTTCTACCTCCTTCTTTCCTTACATAAGGGTAAGTTCTCCTTTCTCTCTTTGCTTATCTAAGGGAGACATGGTCTCCCTGCTAACTAGAAAAACAGAGGAGCACCTGGGAAATCTGTCTTCCAAGGAAAAGATGAAAGCTGTAGCTAAGTGAGAGGATGTGTCCTTCTCAGCACTGACAGTGTGGTCAAAGAGACAGCTTCCCCTGACTTTTCCCTGAAGAGTTCACAGACAACTGTCCAGAAGAGGCCCGGGCTCCCAGCAGCTCTGTGAGCAGCAGGAATCACTGCAGCACTCTGGGCTGCTGCTGCCGTGTCATTCCAGTGCCTCTGGGGTCACCTGAGTGCATTAAATTAACACTGTTCCCAGGCAAAGCAAAATGTCTGGCAACAGGATGGTGCAGCATAATAATGCGATAGGAGGGGTAGCTCCACACCTAAATATGAAATGATTGGAAGGAGAGGCAAGTGCTGATTCTGAGTGACGTGACTTAGTGCCAAATGCACTTTCTCACACACATCTCCCAGCAGATTATGTGTCTCTTCACCAGCACTCAACATTTTTATAGCTTATTTCAGTATTTTTGCATTTGTTTCACCTGTAATAATTTATTTATGAGTTTTAGATTATTAAAAATTTGAAGCTTCATTACAAACTATCCTGGGGGAATCTCACCTGCCTCATCCTATTACATTATTATTACCAAGTGTCTAATTTATATTTAATCAGACATCAATTGAACATCAATAAAATAATAATGAATTAATAAGCTATATCTTCCTAGAAATACTTGTAGCTTAAGTATGTAAGCAAAGGCAGAGCACTGTCTGTCGGTCAGCTATCAAATCTCCCTGAGACTATTTGACAGAACAATTTAGTATTTAGAATATGATAATAAGCCATAAAAATAGTTAATTGCTATGGTCTTCAGCTAATTCTTGTGATAATTATGACCCATACCAACCTGTGAACCTGAGCTGAGAAGTGACCCAGAGTTCCAGGTAAGACAGTCATTTCCAAACACTGTAAATGCCTAAGGGACTCCGTGTTCCTACAACATGAAATTACAAAAGAATTTTGGTTTGGATAAATGCTTAATTTTTCACTTTAGCATGACCTCTTAAACTGAAATGATTTCTTTTTCTACACAGAAAAATCAAAAGCAATTTTTTTTACAAATTAATATAACATCTACCTATGAACATTAAAATAGCATAGTTCAACATCACTGGTTGACTGTTCTGTTTTAACAAAGTATCAACCCAATTAACAAGCTCTGGAAAATACTTCTTTACAGACTGAAGTAGCCTTATTTCAGTCTGGGGAATTTCAGTAAAGACCCTACTCCTATTCCCCCTATGGCTCCAGAGTGTTTGTCATCCCTAAACAGTGATGAATGTTACTAATTGGGGACTACTTCCATGTGCACTTCTTAGGCTTATATGTTTTCCCCTTCCTCTGCTAAGCCTCAAGAATTTTCATTCTGGATCTTTTTATTTCTTCTTCAATTTCCTACTATGTATTCTTCTTTATGGTTCAAATTTTATCAGAGATTGAAAAAGAGCCCTAGATGCAAAAGATAACCATGTTGTCAGTATTCTTCTCTGTCCCAGTCCACTAAGAGTCACTTAACCCTATTCTTCAAAATGATCCCACTGAAGTCAGGGGAACTGCCTCAGCCCCTCACTTCATCACATTTACATGAGGGCTTTAAATACCCATCTGTGGAACTTGAGCTAAAATACAATATTATCCTTCTATGACAGTCTGGTGTTTTTTAATATTCACTGACTCTCCTTTCCTTTTCATCCACAACACATTTGTCTCTTTTAGCTGCTTGGGTCCACTCTGGCTGTCTGTATTACCCAAGCAAGGGTTATAAGGCCAAGTGTCCTCAGGCATGCAGCGTGGGCTTGTGCAAAATTACAGTCCCATGGAAGCCTCAATGTCACTTGGGATGTTGAGAAGTCCACCAAGAAGTGCCATTCAAATCTAACATAAAGAGACTCCAGTTTAGCATTTAAAATTTTAATAAGATCTAAAGTGGCCATCAGACATTCTGGTCTAATCTCATATGAGATTTTCACTCAGTTATTTCTGCATCAATCCCCACAACTCCTGTCTGAGTAAAACACATCCTATTGAAATGCTTCCAGTGTTAATCTGTAAACGGAAAATCCGTTGTCTCAGTGGCTTACACCAGTATTTATAACTCCACACATTTATTACCCCACTTCTCAATTGAACTTGTCAGGTTGTCACTCCCACTCTGACTTGTCCTTCCCTCCATGCAGGGCTTGGGCAGCCCACGTTCTGCTGGTACACCACAACCTGAATGGGCTGCACTCCTCAAAGCTATGGGCAGTCCCACCACTCAGAAATGTGAAAGCCATTGCGTGCTTATGTTCCATCCTCTTTACCATAAAGGATTCCTCAAAGTTCAGAATCAAGGATATCTCTCTTCTTCCTGAGCAGACCTAAATACACTCCTTTTTGGGACACACTCATGGGGAAATGATGACTAGTTCAACCCAGAGAGCACCTTCCCTCACCTCTGAGGGATGGTTCTAATTTTTGGGCAACTCACTTACTGGATTTCACATTTTCTGCCATGCAACCACAGTCAAATTTTGAAAAAAATGCCACTCACCTCTCTTTTTAAAAATCTTCCACCATAGAAAGCAGTTTCACTGCTCTCATTCAATCAAACCACTCACTGACTTGACAGATATTTCTCATGAGTAAGAAAGAATAAAGGTCTTCCTTTTCTGGATGTGCTTTGCAATGGATCCTGTGAAAATCAAGATAAATAATGTACACTAATTCATCTTTAGTGAGCACAAAAATAGTCCCCCAGAATGACTGCTATCAGGTTGTAGCCAGTGAGTGCTGCATAACCCCTTCTGTAAACACAACAATGAATAAAGATCAGTCTCTTACTCCTTTCTTACTCTCTAGTGGGACAGACCCTTAATTATGGCTATTACATTAATAATGACTTCAGAGAAACCCCCATGGCTGAGGCTGCATTCTCCTCTGGACATCAAAGACAATATTAAAACCCTGCCTGGGAAAACTCCTCAGTAACTTCTGCTGATTTTCATCCCAACCAATGCTCTGCCCTAGACAGAAAGCACAAACCTCCAGCTCACTTCCTCCTGCTCCTGGGTGATAAGGCAGTCGGCAAAAATTGATACACCATTGAAAAGGGAAAGATTTACGCCTCAAAACACTGAGAGAAAAGAAAACTCCACCTCTGTCATTAAGCTCTGAAAAACTGCTAGAGACTTTGGGTGCCTTACCCAGGCCTATAGATCCTGCAGAGTTTGCCCATCTTTAGTAAGTCCCTGACTGACAGTGTTTGTGACACAACAATGCAAAAACAGTATCACAAATTGTGATTGTGTAACAGAAAATTGAACTAGAAACCCCCACTAGGGCCCTGTATCACTCTCATCTCTCACTGCACCACAACAGCGACATTTTAATTCTGTATGTGTAGCATTTATGGGCACCCTTCAGGTATAAACATACTTCTGCAGTCAGCTGGGGAGGATGTCTACACAAGACCCCAGTGAGGGGACAACAGGACAGAATTGAGATTCAGGTTTGCACCAAACAATGAATAATTCATAAACTCTTTACATGTAGGTACCTTGTAATTCCTACATAACAATTACTAGAAAATTAATGTAACTGCCTCTCAAGAGAATTACTAGAAAAGACCATCATCCTCTGCAGGTATGCACATGCAAGCTAGAGATAAGTTGATACAACAAGTGATGACACATTTTGTGATAAAATATTTGGTTTAAACTTGTTTTGGAATATGCAGCTTATTGATAGTCCACATCTTACAACATTGCCCATGTGGAAAACAATGCCTGGCAAATTATCAGTTCTTAATACAGCTATGTGCTCCTAAGTATCACTGTTGATGCTGCTCTTGATTTAGATTCAGCTAATTTTTGTCTAGACTCAGCACTGTGGCTCATCCACGTTTCTCCATTTCCCTGAGGATTTGGAAATACAAATTTTGACTTGATGTGCCTATTAAAAAATTAAGAAATGCATATGCAGCACTACCCTTGTCTGTCCATGAAAGCAAAACTGATTCAGGATGATATAAATGCACATATGTGTACTAAAAGCCCTGCCCTCAAGATGGACACTGTGTTATCTACAAGCAAATTATACTGTCCTAAAACAGCACTGTCAAGGTGCACTGCCACACTTCAGTAAGCCTGGATGGGCCATGCAAGAAAAGAATTTTTAGAGAAACCAACTCTGTAAAGGTAAGTTTCCTCAGAATTTCACAGACATATGGTGATGCTGCAAAAATAAGCAGAATCAAACAGCTCTCTGCCAAAACTTAAGACTGTTCCATACCTGTATAATCACCACACAGCACACTTCATTGTCAAGAGCTGCTGTAAGCAACACAAATCTCAGTTATAACCTCAGCAGTAACAATTTTTTGTGAATGTTTGCCCTTCCAAATAGCTTTTAACCAACACCATATCCAGTACTCTGTAAGCCATGATCCTCAGCTGTGGGAGCTTAGCAGGTTGCCACTTATTTAGTCAGCTCTAGGCATTGCTAAAGATCAGGTCTCATGTAATTCTGAGTTAAAAAAAAATCTTCTGAAAAAAGAAACTTAAACTATTTATGATCCTTTTTGCAGTGTCAATCTTGTATATTTTTGATGGCACTTTTTTATTTCAAAATCCCACAGTTTAAACTAAGGTCTAAAAAAACCCCTCTGATTTGCCACAGAAATCAATCTTCTGCTGTCCAATTCCATTCTTAATGAAAGAGACAATTCAGAAACCTACAGGAACATGCTTTATTGATTCATTCACAAGTCACTAAAGCCTGTGCCTATGTTCCCTCCAATAAACCTAACCACATAGTGCTTCTCATGCACTGAATTGCAGGGAAAGACAATGACCCCAGATCTGTTCTGCTGCAAGTCCAGTGAGACTTAACACACCCAATAAATGGAGACACAGCACACCACTAAGTTAATGACAAATGCGTGTAGAAGAAAAGAGACTTATGTTTCTTTCCTTTCTATTTCCTTTATTATTTCTTCAGCTGAGCCTCTGCCTTTATAATTTATTTACCCAGGGCAGTTGTGCCCAGATGCATACCTGTTTCTTCATGGAGGTCCTTGTTTTTCTCAATTTTGTAGATGGATTAACAAAGCAGGAGGAGGCCAACCTCCACGTGTGAGGGCACAGGGTGACCTGTAATCTGCACTGCAGCAGATGCCCGAATCCATTCAGGTTCAACACCTAATTTGGCATAAACCTGGAGTGTAGCTGCACTGCACTGGGTATTTTATAAATATGTCTTTCAATAATCTCCCTCACTTCTTATGAAAGCAATAAGAAGCTCTAAGAACAGCGGAGCCCATATTGGGTGAGCTTTCCTATTAAAGTCCTCTAATGCATCTCAGCTGTGACCTGCAGTAATTTGGGTAATCTAATAAGGCTGGATGCCCTGTAAGAATCTGGGATGACACACTGCCTACCTGCCAGACAGAAGTACAAGAGAGCAGCGAGATACCAGGTATCACCCAGCAGTCAGAACAAGAGTGAACTTAAAAAACAGGTGTTAGAAAATACAGGAAAACACATTATCAAGAAAATATGCTTTGCACAGTCCTACTGGTACTTTCAAGTACCACCAATACAACTTGCATTTCCAATTCAAAGCATTGCATCTACTTGTCCTGCTTAAGGGAATATGCTACACTCAGATTTAGCATCAGGTTTTATGGTAACTACAGTTAATCCAATTATTCCAGTAGCAATACCTTGAAGTACAGAATTTTTTCAAGTTCACCCAGGTTTTGTCAGAAATCCAGTCTTTTGCCTTCTACCTTATGACACAACAGATTATAGAGAGCCCATTTCCCTTCTATCATTCCAATATTCTTCCCCCTTTACATATGCTTTTGATAAGTGTGCTCAGACCCAGTCAAGAACACCACTCTTTACTGCAAAACTTATCTGTCACCTGCATTAAAACTTAGTGGGTTTAGTAATTCTAGTGAAGAATGATTTCAGAATGCAACCTGTGCTGTTAACTGGAAAAATAAGGTAACAAGTGTATAGTGGTGCATAGAGGAATTAAAGTAGTTTGTTATGCTCTTTAATATTTCCCCTAATTCTAAAATCAATCAAAACTCCACCATAAAAATGACTTTTCCTTTAGAAGTGGCTGTCAGCAGGGTAGTGGGCACAAGTTATCGCTTTGTGCCATACTGTATGTTCAAAGCCATCAGCATTCAATGTGCTAAGAAGTGACACTGAATCCCACAATCAGAAATAAAATTAAAGTTTCAAAAAGATTTTAGAATTTAGATGCATATAAATAACTGCTTTGAAGATGGAAAGCATTTTACAGATTTACATTTTGGTCTGTTTTGTACGGATAAACAGATGAAAATATGCTTTTAAAAAGAGCAATATGATTTTCAGTTTAACACTTTCCATAATAAGATTGTAAGAAATACTTGGAGCCACAGAAAGAATTATTTATATTCACTGTACAGAGAGCTTATGTTTTGCTTCTGCTCATTACTGGAGCTTCTGAAAAGGATCTCATTTTATAACCTTAAGAACTATTAATGTAAGCCACAAGCTTTTTGCAAATTCCAACTATCACCTTTCCCAACTATAAGGATTCAAAGAAATCAGGGCACTATCATTGTTTATTCAAGAGACTCAGAATGTTTATCAAAGGTTTTCTTTTCTTTTGAAAGACACAATTAATGTTGCCAAAGAATTCACAGAAACTTAGAATTAAAAATGTTACAAAAAGTGCTCTGAAAAGAAAATTAATTGGAAGGATTCATACTCTAACACTGCTTGCTGTCACTTTGCTCTTAATGACTGAAGTGTTTTTATAGTTTTCTGTGTTCTTCCTTAGAGCTTTATCATTTGATTTCCAAATGCCCTGAGAGCTCTGTGACAAACCTGCAGGGTGTTTCCAGGATGTAAAGGTCAGAGCTGAGGACAATGGGCATGGAGTGTGCAGAAGACAAATCTCAGAACTTCTTACTTCAAATCTGTCACTGACACACAAGCTAGGGTCAGTAAAGCACAAACAGAAGTCTCTTAAAGGAAAATCAACCTTGGTGGCAACTTCCTAAGGAAAAATCAACTTTGGTGGGAACCTCTTAAAGATGTTAGTGTAACTGCCAGCAGAATCGAAGTGACGTTCCTTTAAAAAAAGGAAAAGACAGCTTTCCCAGAGGTCTGCTGCACGGAAATCAAACAGGCTTCCAAATCTCTTGAACAAAACTCATGTAGTGGGAAGCCCAAACTGTGACTTGCACACTTGTCTCATGTGTAACATTTGGAATTTAGGGAAATCCTCCTGTGCTTTATTCCTGGACTCTCTCCCTCCCCATCCTCCAAAGAAGTCTTTCCTCAGCCAGCTGCTTCCCTGCCCTCACACCAGCCTCTAGTTTTCTGACAAGATATTGCTCTTTTGGGCTGGACACCATGACCTTCCTTGTGCTGGCTGGCCCCAGAACTATTAACTTAGTGCCAGACGATCTCTATCTTAGGGTTAGCAACTTTATTATCTTTTTTATTGTTTAATTAACATAATCACTTCTTAAGAACATCTGTAATACTAGTTAGTGGAACAGGTGCAGTAACTAGTAAAAAGTCTATAAAGAGAAAAATCAATATCCCACCAGATGTGTGCAGAGGATGTACCTTTCAACACCACAAATTCCCTTTTGGGGACCTGAAATATTCTCTGCTGCTTCTG